GAGGAAAGTGCGGGGGGATGAAGCAAAATAAAATGGGGACAAATATGTTTAAGCAAAGAATTTGGCCTGAGGTGGCGCAAAATCAAATGGCCCATAGTTTTCTTAAAATTCCCCCCCCCCTTTTTTTTTTGAGCCCTGTAGGCCGAATGATCTCATCAATCATATTTGTAGAATGAACTTTGTACAATATTCTATTAGAATCGCTATCGTTCAGATTGGCATCCTATACACAAGTAATCAGAAAGTTAACTACGCACAAGCTAAAGCTAGAGAGAAGAGTTTTTCTGGACCCGCAGCATCATTAGGTGTAGCGACAGTACACATGTGTATGACCTTACCTCTTCCCTGATATGCTCTACTTGCTCCTCAAGGAATTCATTTCTCTCGGTTAGTGATTTATTCTTCTTTAACAATGACTGGCCAATTCGAGCAGCTAATTCTAAATCCCGCTCTTTCTGTAAAAGGGAAAGAAAAGAACATTGATTTCCAATGTTTTTGTTCACTTAGAAAATAACTGGTTCTCCCATGTCAAAAAAGGTTAAATCTGTGCTAGAAAAAAGGAAAGAATGAATATTCTTCAAAAACAAAGAAACCAACAATTTTTGCTCATTTTCTTGTCCTATTGCCTTAGACTACACCTACATAATCCAGAAAAATTGACATGTACAGTTAATGAACCGTACAGATGAAAGCATAGCCTTACTGTCTAATGTAAAAATGTTAATCGAAGCAAATCTAATTCCAGCTCTTTTTTCTTTGCACCTTTTGGTAGAGAGCTTGCAAGGAGCATTACAGATTATATTTTAAGAGCTCTGAAAGCACAGCAAAGCACAGATATAAGCAGACAGAATACACTTGGATATGCTAACGTGCTTCTAGGTTTCTCCTCTGCTCCACTTGAAAACAAATTCTAGTAAGTGTAAAATTTAAGCAGCAGCTGTGAATGTGTATTATACGATCTTCTGATAGCTTCAGAAATAGAGGTGACTATGTTGAAGTCAAGTAGGCCAAACTATAGCTTTAAGTCACTGCCTCCTGCACTCAGATAGGGATACAGGTGGTATACTTAGAGGGAGTTGATCCAGCCAACATGCCTGTGGGGGCTCTGAAGGAACTCCTGGAGATGTGGAGATGAAAGCAGGGCCGGCTCCAGGCACCAGCCCAGCAAGCAGGTGCTTGGGGCGGCCAAGGGGAAGGGGCGGCACGTCGGGCTGTTCGGCAGCAAGTCCCTCTCGGAGGGAAGCACCTGCCGCCGAATTCCTGCCAAAGAAGAAAGCAGCGCGGTGGAGCTGCTGCCGGAGTGCAATTGTGATCGCGGCTTTTTTTTTTTCTCCCCCCCCCTCCGCCGCTTGGGGTGGCAAAAACCCTTGATGAAAGAACTCAGATGTAGCAGCCATACCACCTTTTGAAAGGGTGCAATGTGCATTACCATCCCCCTGGATTGGGCCAGCTCTGTTAGCATGCCCCTCCCCTCCCCAGGGTTGGCTAGCCCATCAGTCACACAAGTCTAAAGACATCCTGCTTCCTCCATCCAAGTGCCCACGGTTACAGGAGGAGGTTCTCTACGCCCTCTCCTCCCTTGCTCACACACACAGGACCAGCCCTACCCTGTGTGGACAGTAAACCATGCTAAATATACTACAGATTGGGGACCTGATCCTGCTAACGCACATGCCTAACATTAAACAGAAGTAGTCCCAATTGATGTAAAATACATGCCCAAGTATCAGCAGGACCAAGGCATTAGAGAGTGAGCCCTTTTGGACAGGGCAATGAATTTAGGGTGTCAACTTTGCAGCACTTATATGATTTTGAATTACCAAGATGCATTTTTACTGTGTTACATTTGTAAAAGTCTACGTGCAGTAATGGTACCAATTTCCTGGTATATCCTTCTCTCCTCTTGCTCAGTTCCTTCCTCTGAGAACTAAATTTATCCCTTTCAGTTTATTTGCTAAAAGTAGCTATTATGTGCTTGTTTATTTTGGTTGACAACTGTCACACTCAATATTACTAACATTTATTGACTGTAATATGGATGATAAAGACAAAGTCTATGAAAAGAAGCTAGTGATTCATTGCCAGTGACATGGGTTCACAATAATGTCATGTATTTCAAGTGTCTCCATGCAGTAGAAGAGTAGAAAAGTAGATAGCAATTACCAGTGCTGATATAATTCTTAAATAATTTAAGATAGTTTGCAGATCTGGTAGTGCTGTCTCTAAGTGATTTCCAATATGTCAAGCTAAGTCTACTTTTGCATTAGAAACCAAGGGCCCTATCCAGCCAAAATTATGCATGGCCTTCCAGACCATGAAAGTTCCAGAAGGCCATACAAAATATGCTAATGGTGTGCAATAGGCCAGCATATACAGCTGGCCCACTGCACAAGATCAAAATGAAAAAGAAAAATATTTGCAGCAGATAGAACTACAGAGAGGAAGGAAGGGCCCTGTGGATCCCAGAGCCGGGGCTCCTGCCCAAGCCCGAACATCTACATTGCAATTAAACAGCCCCTTAAACCTAAGCCACCTGGCACGGGCCAGCCATGGGTTTTTAATTGCAGTGTGGACATATCCTTTGGGTCTCAATTTGGAATTATGGGGATAATAGCACTTCCCTACCTCCCAGGAGTGAGGATAAATACATTAAAGATTGTGAAGGATAAATACACACAGATACTGTGACTTGTCAGATCGAATTGGAGGAGTCCCTCCTTACCGTCACCATTTGGGGGAGAGGAGTGTATGCCCACACATGTGCGTATGAGAAAAAGAGATTTAACAAGAAACTTTGGCTCAATGAGCCTCATATATTCTCTCACTGAGCAACATTAGAGAATTTAGCAAAAGATGCACCATTGTCAGGTCACATGGCCTCTTTAATAGCCAGACAGAGAGGAAAGAACTCCCTCTGCTTTAGACTGTTGGCTCAGTGCATCCCACACTGTTCACAGGGGCTAGACTGCTACAGGTCTATAGAAATCAAGCTTTGTGGACTCAGGGAGGAGACAGGCTTGGGCAGATGCAGAATGACCAGCTCTGCCACTACTAGAAGGGGTGATGGAAGGAACAACCACCTCAGAACAGCCACCAGGCAGGCACACAAATGATTTTGTGTTGGCTACAGCCCTATGTAAACAAACAACCACCACGTGCCTCTAGGGCTAGGAGAGAATTTAAGAAATTTTCATATTCAAAGAAAACCTGGGGATATTTGTAAGTTTCCAGATGGATATAATACCTGCTTACAAAACCATGCAAATAAATCTAAGCAAATGAATAAGCAAAAAGAGCATGACGTGTATGCATAATACAAGAGTAATTAGAACAGTTATAAATGGCGTGCTACAGATATAATCATTGTAAGTGAAGTATCTGGGGTTTAACATGAATAGTACATAGGAAACTGTTTTTAAAGATTTCAGGTGAAAGCATAACCAAAGGCCTCAATTCTACAACCAAGATACACTAATGCAGGCACTTGCGTTCACGCTTATTCCTTTGCAGCTTCCTGGTCAAAGAATGCACCAGTTCAGGTACTTTGGGTTAGCACTGCATGAAATGGGTCTGCTGTACTAAGAGAGCTTTGTAGTGTGAAACAAATGCAGCATTACCACAATATGAAGCAGACCAAAATATTAAGTTTTAAGTTCTAAACTGTCAAGAACAAAGACCGCATTGTTAATCTTCAACTGAATAATGTCTTGCAAACATAATTTCCAAAAATATTTGCTTACATTTACTTTAAAAATAGAGAGTCCTGTGGCACCTTTAAGACTAACAGATGTAGTCTGCCACAGGACTCTCTGTTGCTTTTTACAGATCCAGACTAACACGGCTACCCCTCTGATACTTTAAAAATAGAGTTCGTTTTGATCAATTAATATTAAGTCATTAGGATATTTAGTGAGTACAAAAATTTTATCCTGTAGGTTATTTTTCTCTCTCTGCTATTACTTGAAACGTTTAGCCTCAATCACAATAAATTAATGGCCATATATTATGGTGGGTATATAAATATAAAGGCACCAGAATGCAATAAAGAAAAACTTGGAGACACGGCAGAGAAAAGTACATGGGAGAGGAGGAGAGGTTTGTTTATCAATTGGTAACTACATATTTTCCTAAAGATTATAAACACGGAGATATCAATAATAAATATTATAAATAATATAAACAATAAATAGACTTGCGAGCTTTATGTGCTCTAGTTTAAAAAAAACATTTATAATACTGTGCATATTTGGAAAACAAAAATACACTCTCTCTCACTTCCCCTCTCTCCCCGCCAACATCATGATTTCATGTAAAACTTAACTTTTTTCCTCACATCATTCAGTATGGTATGTCACTTTTTCTATTCTGGCAATAGTGAGATAAATCTGCTTTAGCTATGTATGAACACGTGGTGAATTTGTACAAATGATGTAAACAAACTAAGTACCTTTTATTAATAAAGGTATGTCCCTTACCAATGAGATGTAGTGACTGTGCATTTAGAATATTTGTTTCACCATGACTGAAAACAAATGGGGCAATTTCTATCAACACAGATTCTTTCACAATCTATGTTACGTCTTTGTCATAAAGTGAACAGCTGTGTAAAAGAATACTTGCCTCTTCTAGAAGTCGTGTAACAGCATCTATGTCATTGTATGTTTTAGTCATCTGGCCCACTCTTTCAGCACATAAAACTGTTGGAAAACAAGACACGTAAATTCATTATATCTGCCACTCAAACTAAACTAAATTAAGAATTACTTGCAAAAAATAAGAATCTTAAACTTTAATCCTAAAATTAATCTAAATTATATCTGTTTACTGAATTATTTTAAGTTTTGGGAAAACATTAAGAACTATGAAAACAATTAACTCAACAAGAAAAAAATTTAATCTTTAGTGTTTCATATTGAACTGAGAAGATTGGCATTTCAGTTTTGTAGCAGGCATTTGCTTTTGCCGATTTTTTTTCAGGTCCTGTATGTACTGTAATCCTAGGAATTTTAAAGGCCTTATGATCAATCTGAAGTGTTTTTAAAGTCCATACATATTAAACTGTTCAACACAAACAAATTCAGAGCCTCAAACCTGGAATTTTCTGTGTAAAACAGTTACATTTACTTTTGATTAAATGCAAATTGAAAAACTTTTTTTTTTTTAGTGTGTCTTGCAAGTTTAAGGGGGAAGATGGAGTCACAACAAAACTTTATAAACTTCTCAAACCATTAAGAGAGAATCAATGAACGAGTACTATAAACTCAATGCAAAAACATTTTAAGTAAAAACAAACAAAATGCACAAAGGCTCATTGTGTCACCTTTACATTGAGCCATGTCTTACTCCATTAGTCCCTATTGAAGTAGAACCAACGGCACAGCTCATAGAAGATACTGCTCTGTGTGAGGTTGGCAAAACTGGGCTCTATCCTATAAGACTGCATAGTGCATATAAAATATATACACAATTCTGATTCTGAATGACCTAAATATAATAGCCCTTGTAATGTATCTGGTAACTAAAGCATGTCACAAAGACTGTTGTATTACTATCTAAAGCAATTCATAACTGAAATGGATGTGACACACTTAAATAAAACCAGTGTTATTACCCTGCTGAATAATTTGGGAAAAATTTTGTCTGACAGCATGACTTTTTCTCGAAGGAGACATAGTGACCTTGGTTGAGTCTCAGAGATATTGAGATTTCTAAACAGAACACAAATACATTTGGAAAAATAAGATCAGCAGCTCCTGTTTTACTCGTATGAACTCTTCTTTTCCCTCCACCAATGTTTTTATGGCTTAAACATTCCATTCTGGAAAAAAGGGACTGTTAATACAGAGTTATATTAGTTGATTACATTGATTTCTGCAGAGGAGACTGCTGTAAGGCAACTATTCTTCACAAGTGAATTTATCTTTGACAGAGTTTCAATTACGGCTGATGCACAGTTTGGGTGATATTGTTCTAAGGTGGTTAATTCAGTATAAAGAAATCAAGTCCAAATTACTTTAAAATAATTGCATGCTGTGTGGTTAAACCTGACGCCACAGATTAGGTGGCATACAACTGACAACAACTGATATACACCAATGAAGAAAAATAGTAGCTGATTAGGCATCCTGTTGCCTTACCAACCCAGAATGTCAAAGCATTTTAGGACCAAATCCTGTAAATATTTAGGTACATGCTTAACTTTTAGCCTTGTAAGCAATCCCAGTGAACTCCATAGGACTGCCTGCAGAAATTTTGCAGTATCAGGGATTTTAGCTTACACTACTCTAAACCTAATTAAAAAGTTAGCAAGTGCTAACTAAAAGCTTATAGCCAGAAATTTACACCCCCCAAAAACTGATTAGATAAGAGAATAAAAATGAAACACAGAATGAATATATGCTACAGTGTAAACATAAACATGCTGCATTTACAAACTACATGTTTGCAGAAACCAACTGTTTTCTGCCAAGAAATATTTTAATTTGCGAAAATCAGGAGCATAGAGGAAGCAGGAAACTGGGGTAATCATTGCACAGAGAATTTTTCATGAAAACATGACAGAAAGAAGAGAGATTTGCATTAACTACGTAACTTTAAAATGTCCATTCATAAAGAAGTTTAATGTAACCATAAAAACAGTTTCCAACACGATAATACATAAATCAACATCTAAAATGCCAACAGTAAATACTGACACAGACCAACATTTTATTATCCCAAACAACTGTTCATACACAGTTTCCTTGGCTATAACTTTCCCTCAGCAACGTTGGTAAATTAATGTTTGGGATTGTCATTAGCAAACCCTAACACTGCCACCGTTTGTGACTAAGGAGACATGACACCACCCTAGTGACCGCAAAACTATCATCATCTTGATAAAATCCAAACAAGTAGATAACAGTGTGGTGTTCCCATGGGCTGAGCAAGGTCATTTGACTGGGAGAAAGGCTGATAAGGGCTGGTACGTGCAGTTGCTAACTCAACTATTTCTTAAGAACTTGCTACACAACCTTTAAAAGCAGGATATCAGCACTTTTTGCTATTAAGCAGCAATGTCAAGACAATTAAAGTCACGCAATCCATGACTGAAACAGTCTTTTCCGCACACAAATCAAAATCTATCATTTTCAACAAATGTCTTAACACCCAAATAGATATGGGATAGTCAAAGTCCAACCTTCTCTTTGAATTTATACACACACATATATAATACACATACACATATAATTTTGACAGCAGGTAATACGTCCCAGAAGCTAACACAATGGTCTCACAGAACAAAGAATGTTTAAAAACAATAAAAAAAACAAAAAAAAAACTGATCACCAATGGCTTTATGGCCTCATTAAATATGAGCAACCACCAAAATTTAGATGAAGTCTCTGTTACATCACTCTGGACAGTGTTAAGGGCCTTCAAAGTGCAATTTGAGTTCTCTTAATAGCCAGTCTAAACGAAAATTCAGGCCTGAGACTCCAGTCAAAGACCCAACCTCGAAGGCCGCAGCATTACCGTTTTAGTTAATCCCCTTCCAGAAACCTCACACCCAGCTGAACCAGCACGTAGGATAAACCAAAGCCTTTAGAGAAATATTGACTAAAACAATACATTTAACAAGGATTGCTGCTTTGGATAAGAAATTTGACTTTGAATATAACAGCAAGGTTACAAATGTACTGACACGCTTCAATAGATTGGAGACTACAGTCACAAAAGCTAAAGAAATTGGTATCATCATAGAGGGGAGGAACATTAGAGGATTAATATAAAACTAATTGCTTCAACAAGAGAAAAAAAAACAAAGCCATGAACCAAATACAAACAGAAGCCTGATGAGAACAGGAAAAGATATTTTGATTACACGAACTTCTCCTGACTTTATGCTTTAGCCAATGAGATATGTAAATTAAAAGTATATTGCCCTAATGAATATGGTATCTGGCTTGTTCCAGTACCTGTTGAACACTAGCCTTCTAACACTATTGTAACCATATGAAAAGGGCAAATGAAGGACAGTGCACTGTAATATAAAACCCACAGCGCATAATTACTGACCTCCTCTTCCATGCTGGCAAATCAGCAGTATTTTTGTTCAGCATGATAGGGAGGGGGTGATGTCTGTGAGTACACAATCATAATACCCAAATCAAATGCACTTCAGACCTCCCAATTCAGAGTTAGAGAAATATTAGGCAATAAAATGGTCACGCAAGTGTGGAAAAAGAAATCACAGGATTCCAAGAACAAAAAGAATTATGTACAAAATTTTGGCAGTTGCTTAGAAAACATCTTTGGATCCTGGTGACAACGATTTAATACAACATTATTATGTGTCACAAAAAATGTAAATACATGAAGATCACAGACATCCTCTCAGACTCAGATTAATGAAAATCATTGGGGCTGTGTTTTAGTTGTGGGGGTTTTACATGCATATAATGAAATGTACATATAGTAATTGCAATAGAGATCATGAATTCCTGTCATGCACAGGCTCTAAAACACAACCCAAAAACTTCATATTCTCCCACATTTTATACCAATTTAAAAGAGGATGTGGCTGTATGTGTCAATGTTTCTTTCAGGGGCGTTAAAAGACTAATAAATGGTAAAGTCCCCAGGAGACCAGGTTTTGGACATGCAATAACTCAGAAGGAAGGAGCAATGCCCAGTAAAGACAGGGCTTGAATCTTTAATTAGGGTGGGGTGCCTGAGGTATTTGCATTCTCAAGCATGTAAGAAGGAAGATGTGTACTTTATTCTTTATATCAAAATCTCCATCTAGTACACCATCGGACGGGGCTTGGAAAATTTACCAAACATCTAATAGTTTGAGGAAGATTTTAAAAGAAAGGAGAGAGGGAAGAATAAAGGGCTGCTGAGGAAGCCAACCTGCTCTTTCCTCAATCCTCACATTCCCAATTCCAGTTGCTGGGAAATGGAAGGGGACTAAGATTATGCCCAGGGTAAACTGACTTGGTACCTTTTGTCTTGAATTAGACTGTGAGCTTTGGGACAGGTAGCAGCATGCCATCTGAAATGTTTGCAAAGAGTCTAACAATCATAGAATCATAGAATATCAGGGTTGGAAGGGACCTCAAGAGGTCATCTAGTCCAACCCCCTGCTCAAAGCAGGACCAATTCCCAACTAAATCATCCCAGCCAGGGCTTTGTCAAGCCGGGCCTTAAAAACCTCCAAGGAAGGAGACTCCAGCACCTCCCTAGGTAACGCATTCCAGTGCTTCACCACCCTCCTAGTGAAATAGTGTTTCCTAATATCCAACCTGGACCTCCCCCACTGCAACTTGAGACCATTGCTCCTTGTTCTGTCATCTGCCACCACTGAGAACAGCTGAGCTCCATCCTCTTTGGAACCCCCCATCAGGTACTTGAAGGCTGCTATCAAATCCCCCCTCATTCTTCTCTTCTGGAGACTAAACAATCCCAGTTCCCTCAGCCTCTCCTCATAAGTCATGTGCTCCAGACCCCTAATCATTTTTGTTGCCCTCCGCTGGACTCTTTCCAATTTTTCCACATCCTTCTTGTAGTGTGGGGCCCAAAACTGGACACAGTATTCCAGATGAGGCCTCACCAATGTCGAATAAAGGGGAACGATCACGTTCCTCGAACTGCTGGCAATGCCCCTACTTATACAGCCCAAAATGCCGTTAGCCTTCTTGGCAACAAGAGCACA